TTTTTTTTATTTCCTCATAACTGTTACAAGTTGGTTGTGTGCAATGTATCGTTTTTCATGGGAAAATCGAGGTGGGCCACTGGGATGTACAAATAGTTTACTGCATCCTTTTAAATTTTTATGCATCACAGACACAAGACATGCACCTAGCAGAATTTATGTGCTTATCACCAAATAGAGACTCAGTTCTAAATGGAAAGTTGGGCAAAGATACTCCAAATGCGTCGAGAGTTTTGAAGAGAATTTATGAGAAAGACATTTAGCTTTATCAGTAAAAAATGTTAACATCATAAATTGAAATGAATAGAGTTAGAGCAGAAAGAGGGAAGAATTGATCTTATTTAATTCGATTACACGGCTACCAATAGTCATGAGAGCCAAACTTGGTAGAGGCTGTACACTGCCTCATTCCGTCAAACAAAGCCTTAACCACTTTGAGGATACATTTAAAATTATTAAGACCAGACACAAATGGGCATCTGTTGTGATTGGAGCCATCATAGTGGAAGATCTGAAAGAAGTGATTCCTGTGGGCTATAGCTGCTGAACAGACCATTGTGAACTGTAGAGAAGATTGTGATTCCATCTGGTATTTCTGAGAAGGAACAAAAGCATTGACGCTAACTTTGACCCAAAAAGAAACCTTTGTGGCACAATTCTCAATAGGAAGATTAAGAATCTCAGTGACTTGTCTTGAGTTTTTAGGTTAATGTTGTGGCTTTGTAGTGTTGGTGTGGGTCAAAACTAAAGTTTTTTTTTAATAGTGTATTGTTACTAAATGATGTTATTAGTCTGACATGTTCCCACTTGACTCTCATGACAATTAGAATAGACGCTATAAAATTAAGTATAACCAACAAATATATCTCTGTTAGTTAAAAAAGTTTCACTAATACATTTTATAATATATTTAACAGCAAAAATATATGTTTAAAAAATAAAATATCTAAGTACTAATTACCATTAATGTCTATTACAATTTCATTTTCATATGATTCGATTTTGGTTACAAAAAGAATCTATTAGTTATATTTTAATTTAAATTATTTTAAATATAGACACATGATTTGAGTGATGGCCTTGTTTACTTTGTATCAACAATTAACAAATTTCTTTTCTTTCCTCGTAACTGTTACAGCTTGGTTGTGTGCAATTTATTGTTTTTTCATGGGAAAATCGAGGTGGGCCACTGGGATGCACAAATAGTTTACTGCATTAAATTTTTATGCATCACAGACACAAGACATGCACCTAGCAGAATCTATGCTTACTGAAGAAGGAACTTGTCACCTATTTACGAATTCAATAAATGCAGTGTTGTTTTCTTGTTGTCTGTCCTTATAGTTTATATATCGTTGCAAGGATATAAAATGTTATGAAACCGATAAAAACGGAAAATTTAAAAACAAAAAAAATTATAACAAAAAAGTTAGTGGTGGAGGTAATAAAAATATTATTGCCGTAAAGTTAGGGGTGGAGGTAATAAATATATTATTACCGTAAAGTGGTAATATCAAAATAAAAAAAGTTAGGGGTGGAGGCAATAAAAATATTATTACCGTAAAGTGGTAATATCAAAATAGAACTTGATTAAAAAAAAGAAAGCTAAACCGGTTTATTGGTCCTCTCTTATCAAACCTAAAATCAAGGATGAAAATGTACACAATGACTAAAGTGAACCGGCAGAGCTAAATGTTATTATAAAAGAACAATAAGTAATCCTTCACGTAAGCGGCGTAAAATAATCTTAGTACGGTGGCGATCATGGCTCTCTACAACTTCCTGTCCCTTGTAGCTCTTAATAAATTTTGTCTTTCTGTTATTTCTCCTAAACTCTGTTCCGTCGCCCATTTTACTCAAGCTCACTATGTTATGCATTGTTTTCCTTAGTCCTATGAGTATCAGATTTTCCGAGCCCTCCTTGCTCATTATGTGCTCCAGAAACCTCACATGTCTTCATAACTAGCATTCAGCAAAAAAAAAAAAAACGACATGGTTAAAGAAGGGCATATATATATATATATATATATATATATATATATATATATATATATATATATATATATATATATATATATTTGAATAAAAGACAGACCACGTTAAGATTCCATGTAATAAGCTATTTCACCATAACCCATTTAACAGGGTCCTGGATCATCAGACTTTACTTAACGTGGTCTGTCTTTTATTCAAACATATCTGATCTGAATTTTACATTGAGCTCTCTGGATATCATCCTCCTCAAGTCTACCCATACGGATTACCTAAATTTGCATAAACTATATATATATATATATATATATATATATATATATATACATTCTGTTTATATGTTGAAAAGTAACCATTCGTTACAGATTTCTAAAACGTATAGAAACTTGCTTCACAACACTTTTTCATATAGTGCTGTGTCCATTCAGGACATTGGCGATCATGGCACACCACAATTTCCTTTCCATTGTAACTCTTAATAAATTTTGTTTTGTTTTTTTCTTATCTCTCTTAAACTTAGTTCCCCCATCCATTCACTCAAGCTCATTAAATAGGTTATGTGTTGTTTTCCTCTGTCCCTCTTGCTTTCAATCGGTTTTTTTTTTTTAGTCATTTTTAGGCTGTGGACTTATCTTTCCTCTTCTATATGCCTTGTCTCTTCAGGACATTGATGATCATGGCTCTCCTCAATTTTCTGTCCTTCATAACTCTTAATAAACTTTGTCTCCTAAGCTTTGATCTAATATCAATTTACTCAAGCCCGTTAGGTAGTTTATGCGTTGTTTTCCTCTGTCCCTCTTGCCTGTTCTGTGAGTATCATATATTCTTTGCTCATGTCTAAGAATATAGTGGTTGTGAGTTCAATCCCTGGGTCGGAAACGAGCGAACAATAACTGAAATAAAATAAGAACTAGACAAGGTATCCCTAAACATGAGAACTGGAACGAGAACAGTCTACAACCGTAGATTAAATTAAAGGGTTTACTACAGAATTCCCTGTAGGTTATACAGATCGATATATACCTGAAGAAGGCCGAGGGGCACAACGGCCGAAATATTGTGATAAAAACAACAAATATGAGGACAATAGTTCGAGTATAAATAGTGTAAATAATCTAAAATATGTTTCGGCTTTAACTATCCACAAATGGTTGATAAACCGTAAAAAACAGATCGATCAATCTGTTCAAGAATCTTCTTCCTGTGTAAGGAGATTGTTCAGAATTCACTGTCATATAGGAGATAAATTATTACATATTTTTAATAAAATGTCATGTCGTTTCAGAATGTATCTTATCATGGCTCTACACAAAATCCTCTTAATTTTTTTGTTGATTTAAGTAAATTACCACGCTAGTTTATCTGCCATCTATTCACACAAACTCGCTAAGTATGTTATTCGCCGTTTTCACCAACTTTGTATGTACTGTGAGTGCCAAATTCTGCAAGCTCATTTCTCACTATGTGCCGCAGAAATTTCAACTGTCTCTTTCTTTTTTTCAAATATAACACAGTAATATTTTCAAAAATAACAGGACAATTCTCCTGTTATTTTCTTCTTTCTTTAAAATTTCCCCATTGCTCGCGTGTTCAGTTCATGTTATTCCCAGCATTCGGTTGTCAGAGGCATAATTTTTCTTCAGTAGAACTCAAACCTTGCTCGATCAACGCTGAATTAATAAAATCACGTATCGGTTATAGAAAAGATTTCACCGAAGGAAAATGGGATACAGGTTCAATACCTGTCAGAGGCACAATTGTTTTTTAGTAGGGCCTCTCAATCTAATCTAATTTTTCAACGCGAGTTCGTATCCTATTGTTATTTTTGATGACCAGGCCGACAGTGAAGGTAATTACCATGAACAGTTGCTTACATCTTCAGAATAATGAGGTGAGGCTTGATTACTTTTTATCAATTCACCCCAAGCAAGGTGATAATACTACAAAGACACAAAGGGGTCTGTTGCGAGTGAGAGAGAATGAAAAGATTGTAGAAGGAACCAGGAAACCCATATCCTAAAGAAGTAACAGAGGATAAACCTTTACTCCTGATCAAAAATACGCGGAGGAGTGTGAACAGGACGATAGATGAACCTATCTACTCCTACCCCCAAAATAAAGTGAAATATATTTGACAGGGGCATAAGAGTGTAAGTCCTTGATGAGTATTTACAGAATTGACTGACTGGTAAGGACACTAAGAATTACGCTAAATGAAACGGTCAATGTGGAGGCAGAAAATTTGGCGGATTACGGGAAGAGAACCTATGAACAGAAAGTCGATGCATGGCAGAAAAGGGAACCAAAAATAACCCTAAAAGTGGTACACCCTTGTGCAAATTAATTGAAACAACTGCTTTAGTTTCCTTTCGGTCAGTTTTCGACTCACTGGAGTGACAGGGTGTAATCGATTTCTCTTTTTTCCTCAGATTAGGTCATTTGCAATGGTGTGCAATATTATTAATCTATTTTCGGGGTGTATGATGAAAATTTTTTGGCCTTGAAAATATTGCGTCATCCGTGATTGCATCAGATTTTTATCACGCCCAGTCAATATTTTCTAGACTGACGATTAGTTGTCATACGATGGACGTTACTCGAAGGAAGCATACGGAAATTGTAACGTCGCACGAACGCACTGGCAAGCCTTACCAGCGATCAAATCACAGTATTATAGACTTTCCCGGAAACTCTCTTGATTTAAATCTAATCGGGAATCTGTGGTCAATCTGATAGAAACGACTTCGTGGAATGGACATATAAAATACTAGCATGTGAACAGGGTCATGTCTCATTGGAAAAATACAAAAAAATGTGAATAATAACGGAATTATTCGTTTTGTTTCAGTTAATTTTCACAAGGATGTATATCTGGAATCATGGAGATGCAATTAAAATATTTGTGTAAAAAATGTGTATTTCTTAGTAATTACAGTGTACATGTACTGTACATATTACTAGCAGTAGATACCGAATGTAAATAGAGAATGAGTCCAAACTAACATCACCTAAAGAATCAGTGGGGTCTGAAAAGACCAAATGAAGGCGATGGATGGAAGGTGGTGGTGAAGAGGGGTACAAAGATAACGTCCTCTCGTCCCTCTCTGCAAAGGATTCCCAGAAAAAAGTAACAGAAGCAACAGATGCATCAGCAACAATTTAATGAGAAGAGAAGCAATGTCACCACGTCGATCCTGTTCACTTGACGAGGCGGATGAGGCAAGAACCAGCAGCAAGAAGGAGAAGAGTACTGGGCGTAGCAGAGCAGAGAAGGCAGTGGACATTACTAAGTCAAAATCTAAGTCAAAATACTAAGTCAAAATTACTAAGTCAAAATCTGTTCCTGCTTCACCAGCAAGAAACGAAGAAGTACCAGCATTTTTTATTTATTTTTTTTTAATTTTAAATAATTTGTTGATATTTTTAAATCGTTTAATGCTCAATTTAGACATTAGCAGATAATTCGAAAACACACTAAAGCATTGCATACATTAAGAGCAACAATTTGGGTTAATTAAATGATTGTGTGAACCTGCCAATAATTGCTTCTGCATCTAATTCATCTAACAATTCCTTTTCAATGAATAGCAACATGTATGATTCCAAATTCTTCTCAGACAGCGAATTTCTTAATCTTGTCTTTATGGCCTTTAGCTTTGATAATGACCTCTCACATTGGACTTGAGTAACTGATCATTTCCAGATGACTTTATAAAGTTCTTATTCCTTTGATATAGGGAGGGTACTTCATCTGGAGTCCACTCCATTAGGAACTACTTATCAATCGGGCAAGCTGGCATCCTAACCAGTTCCGCCTGGGAACGCGTTCTTGAAGAAGGAAACCGAAAGGATGATGAAGTGCAAGAAGAGGCTTTAAGAACAAGTTCTATCAAGAATGTTATCGATAGGCTGTGTAGGAAAGCTACTGAAAGTGTGCAACACACTGTCAGTGGCTGCACTCAACCGACACGAAAAGAGTACAAACGACGCCAAGACAAAATAATCCTCAGAATACATTGGGAAACTATATGTGTGCGGTATAGCTTCGAGTGTGAAGAGAAGTGATACGTGTATTCACCACAGTAGCTAAGAATGTTAAAATGACATGTGATAGAACTATCTTAATTGACAAGCTCTTGGAGAGCAATCGCCCTGACATCACACTTGCCTACTAGAACAATCATGAATGGATCCTGATAGACGTTGCGATACCATCGTATGAGAACATTCTGAAGGCGGAGCAGGCGAAAATGCAGAGATACCAAACCTGGCAGGCCAAATCGGAGAAATATACCAAACAGTAGTTCAGCTCTCTATTTCTTTATTTCTAACGAAATATTCCTGTCTTAACACTTTGCTTAGTTTCTGGAAGGCATCTTTCACTATTCCAATGTGTCTTCGCTTCTCTGTACCATATTCTTCGTCGACTGAAATTTAACTATCTGGGTAGTGTACACAGGTAATTAAATTTCTGTACCTGCTTGATTCTGATGTTTATAATTTGGCATGTATTTTGGTATTGAAGATTGCTGTAGATTCAAATGCACTTGCTGGAAAAACATAACTAGAATATTTTCAATTTTCTGAACCTTAAATTCTTAAATTACTGATTGAATAAGCGAGTTCCGCGGCAATAAAATACTTGTAGAAATTCCCCTATCACGTCGGTAAATATTTGAGCTTAACAATTTTAACAAAATATTGCAATATGAATGCTTGTCGTTATTTTAAGAAGTGGGTACAAATGAAAAGATCTTAAATTGACAACTTTTTCCATTTCATTGAAACAGACGTTAAACATTTCTATCTTCCCTTTCTTTTCTCATTGAAACCAAGTAGCATCTGTGATATGTCTTTTATTTTTCCAGGTAATCAAAACTGAATAGTCCATTATTTATGAGGTATTGGCAGAAGATGTTTAAACATTTCTATTTTTGAATTTCTCAATAACAAATGTACCAACTCTAGCCAAATCTCGTCTTACGAACATTTCTCTTAATAACAATTTTAAAATAATTCAGCAGATGATGTTACTTTATTTATGGTAACTGGACTTTTGGCGATTTCCATACTTGGTTTACGTCGTTCTATACTGTGCTTCTGGGAAAATGCCGCATTTATTGCTGTCGCCAAAGGTTCTCCGTGTTTTGGCTGAGATCAAAGTGTAGTATCTGTCCTCAGGCGGATAAACTACATTTCATCTCTCAGTTGTGTCTTTGTCTTTGAAATTTGCTCGGTCACGTGAAACACCTGACCGCAGTTGTACTTCCCTCATTGCACTAAAGAGCGGGGGGTAGTAATACCGATACCAGCTCAAACGACTTTTTCTGGGCTATTTTGGGACCTGGTCCTGATGCACGCGGTTGGGCTTCCCATATTAAACTGACCTTGTTTCATATCCTGCCAACGTAGGAGCAAGAAGAGAATAGAATCGCATCTCAGCCTTGTGGCTAAGATGGCTTATCATCTCTCAGTCTCTGCCTCTGTCCGAGGAGCAACTGAGAAAATTATACTGAAGAGGTGCCCAGCCCTGGGGAACAGCTACCCGAGGCCGCGCCCTCCCATTGCACCAATGGGAGGGATCGGTACTCGCATCGAGGCCAGCGCAACCGAGGCGCTCGGGCCCCACTTTAAAAAAGACCTTGTGTCACATCTCGTCCTCGTGGGGGAACGAGTAAACATCGCTTCTCGGTTAGGGTCAAAGTGTAGTATCTGTTTTCGTCTTCTGTGAACGGCCATGCTTGAAGAATGTTATATTGCAGTCATTGATTTGCTGATAACTCTTACATTTAAAGATCATTTCTTCACTGTACATGCAGCCCAGCAAGGATTCTTTATTTGTTACTTGCATTCATTTTAAAAGTATTTCATTTTTGTTGCATGTTTTTGTACGCTTTTCTTCTTACGTTTGACAAGTTGGTCAACATTTTTTTATCTGTCTATATTTCTGAGATGAGGTATTATGTACACTATTTACATTATTCGGACTATTGTCCTCATCTTTGTCGCCATATTTATTACAACGTTTCGGCTGTTGTACGCTCCGTCCTTCTCCAGGTGGTCGGAATGTCGAACTGAACCCTTTATTTAGCTCACTGTTCTAGTTCCACGTGCCATGTTTAGTGAGCGAAATAAAGGATTCAGTTCGACATTCCAACCAGCTGAAGAAGGCCGGAGCGTACAACGGCCGAAACGTTGTAATAAATATGGCAACAAAGATGAGGACAATAGTCCGAATAATTAAATAATGAACATTTTGTTAATTTTCTTGTATGAACTTTTTGTTCGTGTTGTGTAGTAGCCTCGGCCAAAATAGCGGAACCACCCCACCAGCTGGATCAACAGGAACAATCTGCTTCTCCTAAGCATTCGTCCTGGGCCCCTGCTAGGCCCAAGGAGAAAGATGATTAACATTTAACGAGAGTATGTCTCCGGTAATGAGCTGCTAGCGATACCTCCGGCCCTGGAAGTGGTGGCCATTAGGACTACCTCCTTGCTAACCACAGATATTAATAACAGAAAGTTGATCGGTGTTAGGAGGAAGACCATGGATGAGGCTCTCAAAAGCCTAAATATTGAAGCACAAGTGTTCGCAAAGTGAAGCAACACCATGTGGGACAAAAGAAGAGGCTACCAATAAGCTTGCAGGAAGCATCCTCACCGCCAATTACAGACGGAGTACATGGGCACCAGAAAAACCAAATTGACTCTTCATGGATCATTTGTGAGTTTTCTTCTTCCAGTTTGGATATGCCGGGTATGTCGATCTGGTATTAAGCAAAACCGGAGACAATTTCGCCGCATTTTTTATACCCTTATCTTGAACGCCCCTTTTGGAGTAATGTTCAATTTAATATGCGAAGTACCTTGCTATCAAGTATATATATGGATGTCTTTTTTACAGGGTCAAGCACCAGAAAAGAAATTAAAAAGTGAACATTTATTTAAAAAATAAAAGACTAAAAATATATCAAAATATATCAAAAAATATATCAAATTCACAAAAAAATAATTTAAAATGTATTCAAATTCCAAGCTTCGTAAATAATCTGTTTTTTGCGTTGGACTGTAATGAAGCATTTCCCGCTGAAGTCTTGCATTGATATCAATATATATTTTCTTCATTTTTACTACATCTTCTCGATCAAAATGACACTTTTTTTTCTTTTTTGCTTATGTCTCTTCTTTTTTCAAATACGCAATTAGTTTCCACAAATTTGGATGCTAGTTAGTCAAGGAGCTCTGTACTGCAATTGTGGAAGCCTTCTACGCTGTTGTTGGTCCTGATAATAGCATTCTGGGTTCGTTCGGAGACATTCCACAATTCAATAGGAAAAGTTGGCTGCATTCTTCGTCTTCGTTCACCTCGACCCCGTTCTCCTCCGGTATAGTGAGTTTCAAAATATGATATAAATTCTTGGGGCAAATCAACATCATCGTACTTAGGCCAAGAGGGTGGCTATCAAGTTGGCATCTTTGAGTGCGAAGGGCTTGCTTCGTGATCTGTCCTTCTGCGTGGATGTGGTCGTAATCCAGGAGACTCACTTTGTTTGAGAGGTCGATGCTAGTGTGTTGTCTAGTGACATTGTTGTCTCGTCAACATACTGGGACCGGCCGGCCAGCGGAGTTTCCTTGCAGGGGAAGCGTTCTCTGGAGGAGATGTTATACCATGCCCATGTCGACCTATGGGACCGGGTGGTCGTGGCCGATATTGCTGTGAAAATGTGTTCGTTTCGGGCCATTGCAGTTTATGCAACGATGAGAGAGAGCGTTGTTCGTACTTCCGTCAATTTGGACCACTCCTGGTGGATCCTACACGTCTAGTGTTAATGGAGACTGTAATGCCATCCTGGACCTCAAGTTAGACAGGGTGCGAAGAACTAGAGGTGGGGTGTTTGTACTAATCGCAAGCCTGGTCGATCTGATCGACGAGTTTGATCTCGTCGATAAATACCGGGTCGAACATCTTGGGCGGGAGATATGGACGCGGACCCTTAATTGACTGTCTAAACTAGTGGTCACTACCTGGATAGAATGTTAGTGAGAAGAATCGGTCGAGACTTGCTAGATTGTTCCACGTTCCATTGACTAGGCTATTCGGACTACAAACTTGTTTGTGCCCGGATGGCGTTAGACACTTGGCCTAGAAGAGCTGGAAACTGGAAGTTCAACGTGTCCTTGCTGGGCAGGGAGGATTTCCGGCTACAGATGACTAGATTAGCGCAGCGGAAATTAGTGGGGCGGTAGTTGGGAATAAGTGATGAGAGAATCTTAAGGTTATTATTGTGCCTTTTCTATAAATACTTTCATGGTAATTGTTCTGATGAACTTTCCTCTATGGTACCTAGACTTTATGAATTTAAGTGCAGTACTAGATTGGCAGCAAGGTCCCATCATTTTATGGTTGAAATGGCTAGATGTAACTGTAAGTTCAATGCTAACAGTTTCTTCTCTCACCTTCTCTAGAAATACTTTCATGGTAATTGTTCTGATGAACTTTCCTCTATGGCACCTAGACTTTATGAATTTAAGTGCAGTACTAGATTGGTGGTAAGGTCTCATCATTTTACAACTGAAATGGCTAGATGTAACTGTAAGTTCTTTGTTATCAATATTTTTCTCGCACTTGTGGAATTATCTTCAAAAGTTTAAATGCAATGTCAATGGTTATCTTCTGGCTTCTTAATTTCCGTTCTTTTATTGTTCTTGTTCCTTAATGTTTTCTTTTTCTTAAATCCTTTCACACTTATTAACGCCATGCGTCTTAGTGGCTTTGCTGCCTTGCTTTTCGTGAAATGATTTTAGAAAAAAGTTAACAATTTCCCCATTTGTCCTTTTCATTTATTTGTTTTTATGTTTTTTTTTTTGTTTGTTTGTTTTTGTTGCTGGACGGTCGAAGAAAGAAGAAGTGGTAATCCTAATGGAGGAGGTGTATGGGGTGGTGGTGGTGTTGGACGGGTAGGGCGTAGCCGGGCACGTGGCTTTCTTGCTGCCCGATGAGAAGAGAAAAAAAAAGATGAGGCCGAGAAAGGCTGGGTAAGATGAGCCAGACACACGCCACTCTGAGCGGATACCCCTAGAAAGAAACGACAGAAGGTGGCATTTTGGGTTTATCGTGTATGGTAAGCGGAAAGCAACACCGAGTACGTGTAAGAAGAGACTCACTGAAAGATGGCAAAATAAGTCAGGAGTGGATGGGTGGCGAACCAAAAAAGAAAAAGAAAAGAAAAGAAACTGCAGAAGGAGCGAGGGAGGGGTGAAATAGAAACGGATGAGGGAATACTCTCGAAAAATGTACTCAAAGTGAGAACGAAAGAGAAAGACGAATACAAATGCATAGGGGGGTAGAAAAATGCAAGACAGATTTTTAGAGATATAGAAAGACAGATAAAGAGAGAGAAAGAGAGTGATAGAATGGAAAGGAAGACACAAGAAAGACAAAAATAAAGAGAGACAGAGACTCTTACATAGACACGCAACAAACTGATTTAATTTTTTTTAATGAAATGGGTGTGTAAACTTCATTAAATGAAAGATGCCTTCAAACAATTAATTCTTGTTAAGCAAAATAAACGAAGAATTTTGTAAATATTTTTTTTAGTTGGGGGTGTTTATTTTTGCACGAATAAAGAAACCATTTTTCAGTATGTACGCAGTGACAGTGTACATTTAAAAAATGTGAAAGTAATCACCAGTGATTACCTTTATAATAATGGTGTGGTGCGTGTACACGTGTTTTAACTGTATATATAAAATGCTCGCATTTATATATATATATATATATATATATATATATATATATATAAAGGTGAATATTGAGGTCAACATCCAGCGGAGACGGCCCGTTTCATGTTTAAATGCAATCTTTGGGCCACCTGTGTTTAAGAATGAAACAGACTGTCGCCTCCGGATGTTGATATCGATGTCCACATTTATATTTACATACGTTCTATCCCCTGATATCGAATAATTTATAGCATACATATAGCATACTTAAAACTATATATATATATATATATATATATATATATATATATATATATATATATATATATATATATATATATATATATAACTTGTATGTGCGTATAAAATTATTCAGTTTATTGTTACAACACTTATGTAACATGGCGCTGAAAATTTTTCGACTGACCAACTTTCCAAAATCTGACCAAATGACCAGACACTTATGGCAGGGCTTCTTAGTCGGGACAAAATCTTTTCAGCACCCGACGTAATTAGAAATGAGCGATCTATAATATTTATGTGTGAACAATCATGACCGTGTGTAACGTTGCAATTTTCAGTGTCTAGCTACGTGCTGATTAGTGTGTGAATATGTGCTGATGTGTGTATACGTGTGATATTGTAAAAAAAAAAAATAAACTGCTTGTTTGCGTGTTGTTGTGTGCGTGCGACAAGGAAGGACCCTGTGTGCGCGTATGCGTTTGTAAGTCTGCCTAAGCGTACCTAATAAGTCAACGTAAAAAAGTACCGTTCGGCATATCTTTCTTGAAAGCGATCCTTTGTATGTGTATTGTGTGTGTGTGTGTGTGTGTGTGTGTGTGTAAGAGAGAAAGAGAGAGAGAGAGAGAAAAGAAAGAGAAAGAATGAAAGGGGTAGAGAAGCGTGGGGTAATAGAAGCTAACTCTTCTTATGATGTGCAAAGATGGAGAAATGCAATGTTTGAATTCTACAAAGAATAGAGTTTATTTTTTCTCTCTCACTCCCCCCTCTCTCTCTCTCTTTCGATTTTTATCTTTTCTTGTAATAGCGACATTGGTGCGAAGCGGACAGGGGTAGGGTCGATCGAATCGAACCTGGTCGTCAGAATTGTGTCTTTGGCTGGTAATAAACTAAGGGAAACAGGGTTGGGGTGCCAGGTAATGGTGGTGTATGGGTGGTGTATGTGTGGTTTGCAAAAAACAGATGACGTGAATATGTGTGTGTGTGTGTGTGTGTGTGTGTGAGAGAGAGAGAGAGAGAGAGAGAGAGAGAGAGAGACTTTGATTATGTGATGAGGGCCACCAAACCTCGCTCCTTACCGGTAGAGACCGGCAGGTTGACGAGATTGCTGCTAGTTTTACGTCGAACAAGAATAGATATTTAGGAATCCACAGAGAGAAAACAAAAAAAAAAAATAACATAGCATGAGGGTGTAGCAAGCCAAAAAACAAAAAAAAATCAGGAAGGTGAGGGTAGTAACGGATCATTTTGTACATTAGACTCTATGTGATAGATACTGTAGGTGGGTGAAGGGTTTAGGCGGGGTCTACAGAGGCTGAAGAGTCGGGATCGTTTTGGTAAAAGAAGAAAAAGAGAAAGATAGAAGCAGCCAGGGTTGAGGGTAGGGAAGGGATTAGAAGCAGTTCGAGTTGCGAGTTGCTGCTTTCTGCTACGGGAGAGGGTGTGGGATTCGGGTAAGGAGCTAGAGGTACCTTCTATCTGTTGCATTTTACCTCAGGTTTTGTAACGCCCGCAGCGATTGGCCAAAAGTTCCCCAGAGTCGAAAATAGCAGCCAATCAGTAGCTGACTAATGAAAAGTTAGCATTTCTTGCACGGTGGATAACGAGCATATATATATTCCTCGACCGCGGTGTTTGTCAGTCAGAACAGCTTTTTTTGACCGTAAGTATTCCTCCGCTTGGACCTTTTACATCTGATGCATTTCATAATTCTGCTATTTTTTGTACCTACGACTTCTGCCTTAGTCCTCTGGTGTGTGTTTTACCACTTTTTTATTTATTGCCCCTCATAATAATTATTATTATTACTTTTTGGTTTCCCTTCTTTTATTTTTACTTTCCTTTTCGATTGCTAGTTGTATTTGGGTTTATCTTTTTTTAATCTCTTTTGGATTACTTCTTAATAGTTTAGCTTCTTTTTTTTTTCAATGTCACCTTCTTATTATAACATAATTCCTACTCTTATATTTTTATAGATATTCTTTTTTTTTTTTTTTTTGGCTTTTTTCAACCTGTTTTATATTAGCATGCCCAACTATTTACCCATTTAGATTAAAGCTAATCTTTAAAAAAAAATGATTTTAAAAACACTGAAAAATTATGATTAAAAAATATACATATCCAGACTTTTATCAAAAAAAAAAAAGAAAAAAAATAACCGAACAAAAAAATTAGAAAAAACATCAAAATAAAAAGAAAAAGAAACGAAAGAAGAAAATTAAAAATTCGAACATTTCTCAAGACCCAACGAGGCTTACAGCACTACAATGTTTTTTTTTTTTTTTTGTAATAACATCTCTTCAAATATGAGTTAAACTCAAAAGCCAGAACCAATGAGGTTTTACTCTGGCAGAGACACAGTACATCAGTTTGCCAGCTCGAACGCAACCTGTTTACTTATATCTTCATTCGTTCTTCTCCTTTTACTTATCCTTTTTCTGCTTCTCATTCTTCTTCATGGTTATCTTCACCGTCGGCAAGTCCGCGTCTGTCTTATGCGGCTCGTTTTACTGATCATCGTCGCCCTGAGACTTTCGACTAAAGCACGCTTGTGTCGAAACAAGCGAGAAAGGACAATTGCCAGATGATTTGATTTTACAAAAAGGAAACTTTAAACACCCAACCCAAAAGAAAAAAAAATGGGAAAGAAGACAAATTGAAAAAGAGACGGAAAAAATTGCTTTCTTTCGGACCAGAAGCTACTTTATATACCCGTTCATCTTCTCTAGGTTGATAGTACCCTGAAAAGAAGTTGACAGAAATCTTGGAGACTTTATACCTAAAGACAACAGTCTTGATGATGAAGATGACAGATAATGACGCTGAACTTAATGGAGCATAAGCGATAATTATAAGTAATGATTATGATATGGGATGTTGCTGAAATTTATCATAACTGCAACAGTGATTACTTACAAACTACCCGATTTGAAAAAAAAACAAAAAAAAAAACAACAACAACAACAGAGGATCCAAGTGGATTCTGGATCTCTTAGACATCATGAATAGACGATATACAAAAGGCGATGTCATCTGAATGTGGACTTTACAAGACATTCGAAAAATCATACTTCACCCTTGGACATTGTTGTTTTTTATATTTTTTATTTTTTTTCTACTTATATGCCTTATTCGGGCTTTCATGATGCAGTCAGCTAGCCTATTAATTCGCTCAAAGAAAGATGAAGGAGGAGAAGAAGAAAAAGGAGAGAAAAGGAAAGAGACGAAATAGAATGGAAAAGGCGGCGATCGAAGTTGTCTTGAAGAGAGAAAAGCGAAAAGAGAACAATTATTAGAGTGTATTAGATTTATAAACCAAGAAAATATCCAAGTACGTTTTATGTTCAAGGAACGAACCATAAAGCCATAAAGAGCTGAGATTGAACAATAAAAGGTTTTTTTTTTTTTCTAATAGAGGACTATTTGACTGTTAGGACCCAAATTAACGAGAGAAAAAAATGAAACGAGAAGTTATTCCCAATCCTTGTTAACACTTGTCTTCTTTTTAATAACATCAACTAATTCTTTCTCACCGATTTCCTTTTTAACCATTTCCTTCCCATCAGAGATTATTTTATCTCGGTTTTTTGTTGTTGTTGTTGTTGTTTTTTTTTTGTTTTTTTTAAACAATTGTGTTGACTTATCCGATTGAAAAAAAATCCTTCGATCAACATTTGTTTTCATTGGTTTCTGCTCGAAGTAGTTAGTAAATTTCTTTACCTTTTCTCGCTCTCTCTCTCACTATATTCTCCCTATATATATATATATATATATATATATATATATATATATATATATAGGTTAGCCTAAAGTCACATTTCATTTTAATACTTTTTTTTAAATCTTGTGATTCAACTTATTTTTGAAATTCTTTACGAAACTCAAAATAAATCGGAAAGTAACTATGAGCAATATATATAGAGAGAAGGAGAAAGAAAAGAGACGTAGCGATTCTTGTAAATTTTTGACTCTTAGATTTTCTGGCTTTGATTAGTTGCCATGTTTTTTTTTTGTTGTTGTTTTTTTTCCTTTTTTTCTTTTTTTTTTTTTTGTTGGTCTTTAATTTGATCTTAGATTGCACTAGCTTATTCAGACATTGAGAACTTTAGTTTATTACGTTTTTAAGTCCGAAAATATTTTTTTTAATAAGCCAGTAGGTATATAAAAAATTTGTATTTACTGTAATATAAAACCAGTCACGGGGTCATAATATGTAATTTATAATTTTGAATGTTTTGCCTTTATATAAGATGTACTTTTGAGATAGATGCAAATAAAATCAAGTTTAACTAAGATAAAACATAATGAAGTTCGCTTACTTGAAATGCGCCCTTTTTTAAAAGCAGAAATTCACCTACCAATGACATTCAATCAAAGCATTCCTTAACTTTTCTTGAGTTAGCAGATTGCCCACTTTGTTATTCTATCAAAAACAGACTTTAGTGATCAAGACTTCATTGGCTAACATTTAAATATGTTCTCGCAGAAAAAAAAAAACTATGTTTACTTACTCAAGATTTATACCGGGCAATTATGTTATAGGGACAGATAGATGGATAGATATATAGATGGGAATAGGCCAGATAGATAGATAGATAGATGGGAATAGGCCAGATAGATAGATAGATAGATGGGAATAGGCCAGATAGATAGATAGATAGATGGGAATAGGCCAGATAGATAGATAGATAGATGGGAATAGGCCAGATAGATAGATAGATAGATAGACAGAATAAACTCTTTAGTAATTCATCATTATTTTTTAACTTTATCTGAACAAACTTATATATAAAAAACATAAGAACTTAAGAAAAATATTGTTTCCAAACGACTTAAGCACATCCCTTCCTGTCTTTCTCTATCATTCAATTCCACAGTATTTATCATTACAATGGTGGCTCTCGGTTTTGTATTATGTGAATTTTAGTATATATATATATATATTTATATATATATATATATATATATATATATATATATATATATATATATGTGCGTGTGTTTTCACTGGTCATCTTCATAATTGATAATGTGTGTCCTTAGTTGATCGTATATATCTGCGAAATATGCTTAACTGACAACGTGTCGTGTATCCTTTTAATCAAGTCATCAAATATGAGAAACATCCTGTGCCTTTCTGGTCAAACTACGATACCGAATATAGTAGGCCTCTTTATCTGCTGCTTGCTATCTGCCAGGTGAATACTTACTACGTAGGATATATAAATATTAATAGGTAAATCAAGCAGCAGCCACTCACACTAGAACTACTGTGAAGCGTTCTTGAAGGCTAAAGTCATTTGCGTAGTTGGGAAGAAAGTTTCTAGAAGATTCAATCGGTGTAAAAATAGAATTCGGAGATAAGAAAATAAAATGGAGGACGCCATATTTACAATTTGTTTGCTTTAAGTATTTCTTTCTCTTTACGAACTTAAAAAAGAAGTTTCAGCATGCCTTTTATGGTGAATTAAAGCACAATGTTTCTGTGTTCATTTATTTGTTGATTTCAGTTTACAAAAATTCGTCATTAATAATTAGAATTTTGATTGATGATTAAATCCATTGGCCGCTTCGTTGTGGCGTAATAATTAACGAAATAGTCCAGCAGATATTTTTTTATTGTTCGGTGAGACCCATCTCAACCGGGTTGTGGCCCACTGTCAGAGTAAGCTGAGTTTACAAAATATCTAATAAAAGAATTTATTGATGAATTTATTAATTTACAATAATTAACAGTGACATACATAAATTATATCTTGTGTGCTTCTGAAACAATAACAGCAACAACAACAATAATAATATTTATCTAAATAGTCAGTATTTGTATTAGGGTGGAAATATGGGTGATGTAATAGTCATCAGAAAGGAGAAATGTTGGCAAATTCAGATTGGATCTGTTTTATCTTCAGTTCACATAAATACATGGAAGGCATGAATATGTTTCTCCCTTTATCCTCTTTACAATCGTCCCAATAGCTTGGCAAACTGTATTGCGTTACTGACATGCAACGATTGTTGATGAAAATAGGTGTGTTTAGGTGGACAGTTGAAGAAACAACTCTCTAGTCGTTACCTCCCCTGCCCAGGCAGTAGCAACAAACAAAATAATCTTACTCCCGTAGTAGCCTTCATATTTGTGGATTATTCTAGAAATCCATGTGAAGGTTCTATTTTGGGAAGCTTTGGAAAGCTATGATCACCTACGTTCTGTATTGGGAAAGATTAAAGAAACTAATTTGGGTTATTTATGTTTAAGTATTTCTGATGTAGAGTGCTCGTCTTAAACGTAGCCAGAAATTTGCTTCATTCTCAATTCAACTACTCTATTTATCACAAGCCATTGATAGTGACTTAGATTCTAGCTTGGCTTTCTGTAAGAAGTGGACGTTTTAGAAGACGAAAAAAATAATATTTCTTTCTTATTATTACTATTTACTAAGAGATATCTTAGTGAGTTAACTAGTATGCTTTAATTGTTTAATTCTGTC